ATCTATATAGGCGAAATAGCTCCAGAAAAAAGATTTTTTTATCAGACAACACTGCCGACCACAAGCGCACGCGGTCCCCCTCGCCCGCGTCAGCAGTCTCTTGCCATCTTGGAAGCTGACTGTGCGCGTACCTACTTTCTCGTTTGTGTTTTACAATTTGTGACTTGGCTATTACTTTTCTGGACTCTGAACTAAGCAAGTGTTTATTAATAATGTCCAAAAGAGGACGTACTTTGAACAGCCAGGCTCGTGAATTGGTGGTGAAATTACACCAGTATTTTGAGCGTGAATGTCAAAATGGTGGAGCTCTACTGCCAGTTACACAAGTTCGGGGGAAGCACCGTCGGCAAAATATTAAGTGAAAAATATGGGCCTTCGGGGAGTGACAGTAACGTACTTCACACGCCGAAAAAAAGGAAAAGAACTAAACCTGTGACAGGTATCGATGACTTCGATAGCCATGCTATTAGAAACCATATCTATGGTTATTTTACAAGAGACGAATTTCCAACATTGGCAAAGTTATGTGCAACTTTAGAAGATGCCGGGCTGTACAAGGGAAGCATAGAGTCGTTGAGAACGATAATAACAGGAATTGGCTTCAGATACAAAAAAGTTGACAAACGAAAAATTGTTATGGAGCGACATGACATAATTATGCAGCGACTAACATTCCAGCGCGAAGTAAAACAAATTATAAACTGGGATAATGTAATATTTTTGGACGAAACATGGCTAAATTCCAACCACTCTGTGCCGAAAACATGGACAGATGATTCTGAAGCTTCGTGCTCGAAAGTGCCGATAGGGAAAGGTCATTATATGCCATGCTGGATCAGCGTCTGCAGGTTTCGTGGAAAATTCATTATTAGCTTTCCAATCTAAAAGCACAAAAGAGTATCATGAAGAAATGGACGCGGAAAGGTTCCAAGAGTGGTTCTTAAATTTACTAACGAATATCCCTCCTAACAGCACAATTATAATGGATAATGCCCCATACCACTCTGTGCAAATTGATAAAGCACCAACATCAGCCAATAAGAAAGCAGATTTGGTGGCGTGGCTGCAAAGAAAAGGAGTGGAAGCCGACATGTCACTATTAAAAGTTGAATTGTTACATTTAGTGAAATTGGATAAACCACCAAGACCGACTTATGCTATTGACCAATTAGCCGAAGAACACGGGCACAAAGTCATACGACTTCCTCTGTACCATTGCCAATATAATGCCATTGAACTGATTTGGGCCCAAGTTAAAGGTAATACTTTATAATATAATAATATTTTTTAGTAGTTGATTATATTAATAACAAGAACTTGTTCTTAATAAGCTGAAATATATTGTGAATTGAGATTTTCCGTTAAGTACAGTAATACTATAAAACATTACCCTTCTTCTTCGCAGTTGTGTTAAATTGTACATAACCTAACAAAATATAGCAAGATTAGCTTAACACATTTTGTAGCCACATAACACGAGTGCCTCTAGCTTTTATAATTTAAAAAATAGTCTAAGTCTCCCACCTAATAATTATATGATTGTTTTACAGGTTATGCAGCAAGACACAACACAAAACCACCCTTCAGTGTCAAGAAAATGGAAGGCTTATTAAAGGAAGCATGTGCGCAAGTTACACAAGAAGATTGGTCAAAAGTAGTAGAAAAAACAAAGAAAATAATAATGGACGACTTCAACAGAGACGTAAAATTCGATGGTTTCATGGATAATCAACTAGTCATTAATTTAAATGACGATGATGACGAGGACGACAATGATTCCAGTACTTGTAGTGAATAAAAAATATCCTAAACATTACTTTTATTTAAATGCTTCGACTTCGACCTTTAGAACCTTAAGATTTTTTCGGTATTCTATCCTCAGATTACTAGTAAAACCTAAATTTACCAATAAACAACCTTTTACAATAACATATTAAAAAAATATAGGAAAAGAGTACAGGGAAATAATATCTTAAATTTCGGATATTATGGTCATTGATCTCTTAAAATTCGGATATTATAGTAATCGATCTCTTAAAATTCAGATATCATAGTAATCGATTTTTTAAAACCCATCCCTATTATTCAATTTGTCAGAACTGTCAAACGGTACTTCTTAGATTTGATGGACTGTAATAACAGCGCGGATTATTTGTCTCGTGCGAGGCAGCCGAGCGGCGCCGGCGCCGGCGAGAGGCCCCGGGCGGGAGGGCCGCGGGCGCGGGGCGGGAGCGCGAGCGTGGCGGGCCCGGGGATGCGCCGCCAGAGCCGATCGACCGCGCGGCCTATGTGTTTTTTGTTGTGGCGGGCGCATTACCTATCACGTTCGAGGAATTGAGGGACGCGACTGATAGAGATAGCACGTTGTGTAATGTTGCACACTATATAAGGAACGGTTGGCCTAAAAAAGTTACCGACGCTAGTCTTAGACCTTATTTTTTTGTAGGTTGCAATTGTCCATAGAAGGTGTATGTATTATGAGAGGGCACAAGATAGTAATTCCGCAGTCTTTGCAACATCGAGTTTTATCAGAGTTGCATTCATCACACCTGGGAATTGTTAAAATCAAAGCAGAAGCTCGATCGCGCTTCTGGTTTCCAGGTATCGATAACGCATTAGAACATATGATTGCAAATTGCGAAGTCTGTATACAGTTGCGCCCCTCCCCGCCGCGCGCGCCTGTGTGCCACTGGCCGTACCCCCCTAGGCCTTTTCATCGTGTACATTTGGACTTTCTGGGTCCTATTAATGGTTGCATGTATTTAGTTATTATCGATGCGTATACAAAATGGGTTGAAGTGTGTGAAATGAGTTCGACCACTAGTGTAGCAGTGATTGAAAGAATTTGTGAGTACGTGTCTAGATACGGATTGCCACATACTTTAGTGACTGATAATGGTAACTATTTTTCCTCGCGAGAATTTTTGAATTTTTGTAAATTAAATGGTATCTCCCATGTGACGTCACCGGCATACCACCCAGCGAGCAACGGACAAGCTGATTCCTATGTAAAAGTCATAAAAAAGGGTATCCGGTCCAGTCTCATGGAATGTACGACTATTAAGGAGAGTAGGTAAAAATTATATAAGTACATTTTCGACTACCGGAACTCGGTTCACGGTACGTCAGGCGTGTCACCAGCTGAGCTAGTATTCGGACGTAAACTTAGATCGCGACTCGATATTATGAATCCGTTTCCATCTCCGTCGTCTACCTCACTGGCTAAACATGTCGAATCTAAACAGTGTTTACAGGCTAAAGCTAAAACTGGTAATTCTAAAGACTTGTTACCTGGTCGATATATAATGTACAAAAAGTTTAATAATAATAATAAATTTGTTTGGTGCAAAGGTATAATTGTAAAAAGAATTGGTAAAAATGTTTACATCATTAGAGATTGTAAAACATCAATGACTGTCAAAAAGCATTATGATCAAATTATTTATTTACGAAACCATAGTGATAACAATGAGCAACCTGGGGATGATATTTTATGTAACTCAAATGAGCAGACTCAGTCTCAGGCTACATCACCGAGCGACAGTCATTCACGATGCGATCGGTGCCGACGAACTACACTGGGAGGGAGAGGAAGTCGGAGATTCTCAAGTAATAAGGTCACGCGCGGACACGACACCTGCTCATGATGGCGACCAGTCGGTACGGGTCTCTTCATCAGCTTCACCGTCCAGAGTGACGACAACTCGAGGCGTGCGACGTCCGGTGCAGAGCGATGACGATGATGAAGCCTGTGAGCCCAGCCCACCATCGTCGACTCCCTCCAAAGTGACGATGACACGAGGAGTTCGGCACCGTTTACGCTCCTATAGTGATGACAACTTTTATGAGGCTGAATAGATCACCCCAGGGTTGCCCTATTTTCAGATGTAAACACTAAATATTAAGGGAGGAATGTTATGTAGATATAAGCATCTATAACGCGGTTGCATCCGCGTAACCTGTCTTCCATACAATAAAGAAAGTGCGTTACCGACCTTCGCTCGTATCACTTGTCCCTCCGTTCCACATATACATTAAGTTTGTATCTATGTTATGAAAAAATATAGGCTCGAAGGACCAAATATAATTTTTATGCTCACGTATTCTGCCTGCACAGAACTAATGTCGTTCAGGTAAGTCGACACAAATCATTCAATATGGGCTTACAGATGTTAAAGGCGAGATGAGGTTCTCTGCTGGCGCTATAACCGTGGCCTCAGGGCTAATCGCCTAACGTGATTTCTATGGCTATCGCTATCGCTTACGATTTTTTTATTTTGTTATTCTTGACCGCTGAAGGTTTGCAAATGGCTCGCGCTCTTTTTGTTTGCATTACGCGAACGTAAAAAACGTATTAACGATGCCAGCTTTCTTCTCGATTTGTTTTCTGTAGGATCTTCCCTTCCTCTTTTCCTTTCTATTTTTCTCTATATGATATTTGTGACTGTCAAAATTGTTCACAAAAACAAGTCAAGAAAAGTCATTACCTTTGTATTTGAATTGGCTTTGGCCCCGCACTTGCGTGTTACGTGAATCCCATCTGGCTTTTGTTTTGCAATCTGAGGCTCAGTACCCTTAGTACGAGTTTTACAATTACGAAAACTATGATAGTTATCGTGAGCTCGCACTCGTACTATGGGTACTGATTTTATTGTTTTCGTTTCAATACAAATATACAGTGTTTAAATTACATCATTAGATCATTTGCGTCTTCTTAAATTTTAAGTATATTTGGTTAATTTTCACCAAAATGGACACAGAAACATAATTTACAATTACGAAAACTATGATAGTTTTCGTGAGCTCAAACTCGTACTGAGGGCACAGATGAGCAAATATAAATTCGTACTGCCTTTTATACCGATCTTAGAAACACCTAATATCCATTGAGTGTGTCAATGCTTTTTTCTACAGTAATTTGATTTTTTATATAGCCACATGCGTCAAACCATGGTAAATTAATTCACTGCCATTAAAATAATAACATTATTTTGTTTCAGACTGCCGTAGCGAAGTACGTGTTAGAACTACAGTTGTGCCGACTCGGTCTCGGCACTCCAGGGAGCGGTCTACCACCAGCGTTGAGAAATGCTTTCTTAACTATGTGGGCGGACAACGGAGATATAATATCGCGCCAGTACGCCGGCACGAAGGCTCTTAAGGTAATAGCCACAGACTGAGATCGAAATACATATTATTACATATTCTTCCTATAATCTGGAGTCCTTTAAGAGAGGCGTGAAGAAGCATTTTTGCAGGCTGGCAAGGTGAGGATGGTTGGTGTAGCAGTTTATAGCTGCTGTACCAGCTATCTTCGCGTTTAGATTTTATCACCACTTAACATCAGGTGGGGTAGAGTCATTTGCCAACCTCGCTATAAAAAAAAAGTTACCGCAAGTGTATGTACCTCACGTGCCATAAACGTGCGAAACGTCTTTTTTCCGCTATTTTATTTCTTTTCCCAAATTTTCTTTTTAAGTGTAATGGTGTTTAAATAAAATAAGGTAAAATTAAATAAGGTGTAAAAACAATAGAATTGAAACGGGTTTTCCAGTGCTTCATTTGCTATCAAAATATGACACGCTCGGTTTTCGTACAATTTGACGCACATGCGTCGTCTGCTTGAATCTAGGTCTGTAGTAATGGCAATAAGGAAGTTAATAGCTCGGCTAGTTTAAAATGTTGGTTCAACAACGGTTATTTAAAAGACAAAGTTAATAGTAAAAGTAAAATTTGCTCGACTTATTTATAATATACCACTAGCGTTGAGAATTATTATGAGCACACACACAAATTTATTTTCTTTTCAGTAACTGGTAAACTCTTTTCTTTCCTTTTTGCTTCCAGTTTAATATAATATATCAACATGATAGTTCCGCGCTACGCCACTGCACTTTACATTAATAATATTCAGTATTTCGAGGTTGCGGTAGCGAGCGAAAGCAAGATATTGTTTTTAATGTACCCCCTGTTTAAGTAGGTATACAAATCGTAATACTCATGTTACTTTCAACAAAGTTTTTTTTTATATTAGGGTGACTACACGCGCACAGGTGAAAGAAAATTAACAGGAATGATGAAGGACGGCATGGCATCGGCAAACAGGTGAGTTAACCATATTAATAATGATGTATCAGAACATAAGTGATATTGAAAGTATATTTACACAAGTATTTGTTACAAACAAAGGAAACTTTCCAGAAACCTTATTAGAGATTATCCGTTTATTATCTATATCATTGGAGCTACATATATTTTTTGTTATTATCCAAATCGATTTTTATTGAAACAGAAATTATAAGTCATTAAATTACAAATGCGGTCCTTTTCCCCGCCACAGATACATCATCCGTCATTTTTGTGACGCCATTACACAATGTGCCATAGACATTGCTCTCGGGCAGCCTATAAATACGGCTACTATAGATGAATTGGACAGCGTCTGGCATCATATGAAAACGGCATCAACCGTGATTCTGTCGAATATGGACACTAATGAGCCTAAACTAGAAATGATGCCAAGTTACTTTGGACATCCGCTGACTAGCGAATTGGCTATGGCGCAAGTCGCATACGGATTGGGGAGGTCAGTTTATATTGGTTTATAAAGTTATGATACTGTTTTTGCTTACTAACGGTACGTTGCGACCTCCTCACCGTCTTTTAAGGAACTAAACGCAAATTAACCCAACTAATTTGTAATATGTTCATTAAAAATGTTTGGTTCTAGAACGTTTTGTTTTAAATAGCTGGCTTTCATCTGTTTTTAGACCCCTGTGTACATTATTCTTACAGCAAATTCCAATGTAATTAAGTTTCGTACGGCTCACTTTTCAACCCGTTAATACTTACAGTTGTGTTGTATACTCTGATTTGATAATTTAAATATTTTCTTTTTTCTTTTTAATAATTTAGGGTATAAAAACGCGTTATGTATCATATCGTGATAGTCATGCTAGGGGGGCAGGTTGTCACAGTGATGTCAAAATTTACGAATCGGAAAACAATAAGGTTGATTCTTGCAGTAATCTTCTTGTTTGCGTATCAACTCTGATTTTGACATTCAGACCATTACTAATACTTATTAGATACTCTTATTAGATTTGATTGTCTGATCCTTTTTTCGATTCCATAGTGTATTGTTTTTGACAACGTTTTGAAAACCACGTTCATTTATATATTTATCATTAAATCGTGCGCACTGCGATGTAATGTAATGTAACTGTTATAACAAAGAAATATTTTCAAAACTTATTTATTAGTATATTCGTCATTAAGGTCGCGTTGTTTCATCGAGAGTAAAATTTTACTATAGTTCATGTCACGTAAATAGATAGTAAATGTGTTAAAGTTTGCCGAGTGGTTATTTTTTCGCTAGTGTTTTAACCATAGTCAAATTTAACTATCGATGAAAAAACTCGGCATAATTCTGCACCGTGTTGTAATGTAATTCTTATGAAGAAAATGTTTTTTGAACCGCGTCAGTTTCTAAATCTTTTATAATTAACGGCCAGTTTCAATAATCAACCTCCAGCAAAAGGTAAGAACGATCTAGTTCCGTTACTTAGCAGAAGTTGTTATAATCTAAATTATAAAATATTAGGCAACAAAATTCTAATAGGCCTATTACTTATTGGAGTTTGATTATTTATTAACCGTAGTATATAAACAAGTCAAAGTCATTACTTCTAATTATGTAATTACTTGTGGAACATTTTTCATTTCATACTTGATGCTTGCAATTCACTTGGCTATTTGCTATTTGTAAACTTGATCAGGTTCAGGTCAGACCAGGCTGTCTTTTTAATTTCTTATTAAGCATAATAAGGACAAACTGTTGTTAAGTTAACAAATAGGAAACACGAATATAAACAAATTAATCATAGTAAGAACTGGCAAAAATGAGAATTTATATGAGCAATTTATTTTAAAGAATTATTTAAAGAATTTCAGTGTCAAGTTATGGCCTGGTCACTTCGCAACAAACTAATTACTTAGCAACAAGTAATCTCTTGTTTATAAATGCCAGTGTAAAACTGACCATTAGGCCGTATACAGAAAGAAAGCTGGAAGCCTACCAGCGCTTGTCAGCTCTTGTCAACGCTGGTCCTTACCGGTAACCGGCGTAGGCATTTCTATGGAACAGCGCCGAAGGTCGCCGACAAGTGCCGACACGAGCTGGTCAGCGCTGGTACCGCATTTGAAATTAAAGAACAACTAGGCTTCAATCAGCTTCCTTTATGTAACTGTTACCAGTAAGGATCAGCGCTGAAAAGCGCTGGTCCTTGGTCGGCTTCCAGCTTTCTATCTGTATACGGCCTTAGTCCGCAATGTTCTGAAACACTGAAAACGGTGGCGTTGTCCGCAGATACTACTTGTCGACGTTCAAGGACGCGTTGAGGCAGGTGGCCATCGACGTGATGACGGGCGAGTCTCGCTCCATACCCGAGCAACTGATAGTTCCAGATTGTACGCGATGCACTTCTGTCAAGGTGCTCATGTTCAATGTGCGTGCATGTGCTTGTATCCTTATCCTATTTTCTTCCTATCCTATTTATAAAACCACTGGCTGTGCCCCGCGGTGTAACCCGCGGTTTATTAGGGATATTTTCCCGCAGTAAAACGTAGCCTATGTATTAATCCAGGTTGTCAGCTAACTCCATACCAAATTTAATTAAGACCGCTTCAGCCGTTTAGACGTGAAGAAGTTACAAACGTACACACTCACAAACTTTCGCCTTTATAATATTAGTGTGATACACATAAAATCCCGCCCGCATATTCGTAAATACTCGAACCACTCGACAGTGGCGGACTAACAGGGGGGCGGAAGGGGCGGCCCGCCCCGGGCCTCCAGTCTTGGGGGGCCCCAAATGCCTCCGCGTTCCCCTGATCGAATCTTAAACAAGACTTTAAAAATGTACTTCGTACCTACATAATTTCATCAAGACCAAAACACTACAGCCATCTAGAAATTTTACCCGGAACTAATATTCTTTTAACTTTGCTGAACGCGTCCAATACGTAGGGGGAATTCCCGTCTTTGTAGCAGGTAATTAATTCTTCAGGAATCCTTGAATGAATGAAGTGCAAATAATTCACTCTTGTACGCCTACATTTACATTCAGACCCGTCTTTCCCAGTAGGCACTTTGGACAAGTGCCCAGGGCCCCGCGATCGATAGGGGGGGCCCTCAGATCAAATACAGAGTCCCTAGTTCCTGTTAAATTACAAAACGGATATCATAGAGGCCCCATTATCCTAATATGCCCAGGGCGTTAAATCGGTCAAAGACGGCACTGTTTACATTCACTACATTATATTTACGTCGAAAAATAAGCATTGGCCTCATTTAAAATATATGTATTAATTATCATTACGTTGATATTTCATAGTTAATTAGTAAGCGATATTTTCATGAACGAATAAGCCTTTTTTCAATTTGTAAAGTCATAAAAAAGAGGACGTTATTTCCCCGAAATTGTTCACTAATGCAATGGAGGATATGTTCAAGACGCTGAACTGGAAAGGACGTGGCATCAACATAAATGGCGAACGCATCTCTCACTTGCGATTTGCAAACGACATCGTCATCGTGGCAGACACCCTGCAGGACCTACAACAATACTGAATGACCTGGCTGACTTTTCTATACGCATCGGCCTACGGATGAACTTGGATAAAACCAAGGTCATGTTCAATGAACATGTTCTACCGGAACCGATTGCATTGCAATCGGTTCCGGTAGAACTCGAAGCCGTTCAAAAATATTTATATCTCGGGCAGTCATTGCAATTAGGTAGAAACAACTTTGAGGACGAGGTGGTGATGAAGAATTCAGCTAGGGGCAGCGTTTGGGAAGCTACGTCAAATCCTGACATCGTCCATTCCACAGTGCCTAAAGACGAAAGTCTTCAATCAGTGCGTCCTACCTGTGATGACATACGGAGCCGAGACGTGGACACTGACGGTACGGCTGGTCTACAAGTTCAAAGTCGCTCAGCGCGCTATGGTAAGGGCTATGCTCGGCGTTTCTCTGAAGGATCTCATCAGAAATGAGGTACTCTGACAGAGAACCAGAGTTATCTACATAGCCCTCCGGACTAGCTAGTTGAAGTGGCAGTGGGCTGGCCATATTTCCCGAAGAACCGATAACCGTTGGGGTATAACGAGTTCCGGAGTGGAGACCTCGTCTAGGCCATCGTAGTGTAGGACGTCCTCAGGCACGATGGAGTGACGATTTCCGCAAGGTGGCTGGCAGGAGCTAGATGCGAGTAGCCCAAAATCCATCTGAGTGCCGTGCAATTGGAGAAGGTCCAGCAGTGGACTAGGATAGGCTGTTCATGAAACTCGATCTTATACGTTTAAAGTAATTTCATTAAAAAGTGTTATAGTGTTTTTGATTTTTGTTGTGGTATAAAAGTAAATGAGTTCAGAGTTGAGTTAGTGCATTTTCAAGTATTTGAAAAAAGTTAATATTTCTTCGTATAATATAGCCTACAAATTTTAATCCATAGTTTCTAGTCAATATGCACCTACGAGAACATTGCTTCAGTTCTTGTATTTCGCGAGTGGTCCTTCTTTTATTTGTAGTGCATGTTTATTAGTGACGTAGGTATGTACTTGTTCTCATCGTGAGATTCAACACGGCAAAGTCTCTGTACATTTGCATATCGAAACTTAAAATAATTAAAAATTATCTTCGATCAACAATGGGTGCGACTGGTGCAAGAGCGACTGGTTTACCTAGCCGTGCTTTCAATGGAAAAAAAATCCAAAGAAATAGATTTCAAAGAAGTTATTGAGGAGTTCAGTAAATTAAAGGCACGAAAACACATATAAAAAAAAAAATCTTTGATTTATTTTATTTTTTTGTCAATTGATATCGTATTTTATTTTTCTCATCTATATCCAATCCATATTGTAGATATGTATGTTGATAGCCGAAATATTTTAATTCGAATTTAAATTTTACTTTCCCGATTTTAACAAAATAAACATAAAACACTTCATATTTTTAAAACTGGGGGGCCTCATTCATCTTTGCCGCGCCGGGCCTCTGACGGGCTTAGTCCGCCACTGCCACTCGAGAAGTTTCGTCATGTGAGGCCAAAGCACGAATTTTTGACAGCTCCGTTACGTATCGCATCGTCAAAGTTTCTATAAAAAACTAAGCAGCGCTATCAGACGTAAGAACAAACTAGCTTTTTCTGTAAAAAAAAATTGACGATACATTGGCTTGGGTCTGTTTGGTATTTACAATGCGTAAATCAGTATTGTAAATTAAGTTTCTTATTAAACTATTTCTAACGGTTGTGATTGATTTGATGTTATAGTGTAAAAAATACTAAGCGGCACTCGCATAAAATTGAAAAGTCTTTAGAAATAGAGAAAAACAGCTAATACCTACACAAACTGTGCACCTCCTGATTGCTTGGCGAAGCTACACACATAATCGAGCCGCCATAGTCGGATCGGCAGTATTTGTCGAACAACAAAGCCGTCCCGAAGTAATAACTGCCGCACATTCATATACGATTTTATATGTATATTTTATAATGTGGTAAAATCCCATATGAATGAATACGATTTTACAGCCCGGCTGTGTCGATTAATGTCGGTCCGCTTATGAGCGTAGCTACCCTCAGTCTCACATTAGCTTTTGTTTTAACTTTATAGTTTTGATTCTAAAGAAAATATGCTAGAAAAAAGAATCCACGCGTACCAGGCAGCAGACGGGACTCAAACCCGCACCCTTCGCTATCCGGGTGAATGCACTGACCAATTATGCTACCGCGGCCCTGACGATTGTGTCGAATTCTTTTCTAGCCTTTCTTAAGCTGCAAGGCAGCGCCATCTCTTCGCAATGTCGTCGTTCGTTTTCTTTAGATTTAAAATCGAGCAGTTGCATGCTTAAAAAAAATATAACTATAATTTATACTTAGTTTTACTTATGGTTTCATTCATTATTTATAATAAAACAATATTTGAAATAACTGAAGCCTCAGTTTGACCGTCTGCTATTTACGTAACAACTGTGGGCATCCCAAGCATTGGGTATTTACGAATATAATCCCCTTTGATACGTCCCACTGCTCATTTCGTTCAGTTCTGTGGTTCGACGAAATGACTTGGACACTTACCTCAGAACAAAAACTAAAGCATAGAAGTTTGAGAGTACACTAACGCATAGACTATACGTATTACCTAAGCAAAAAGTTTAAATGGCTTGTTGGCAAGTTGCATTTAGAAATTAGGTCGCTTTACAAGGCGTACAAAGGCGAAAGATATCCAATTTGATGTTCGTTTAGTGGTATGCACGCTGTTCATAGTAACATATATGTCCTTTTTGTTGGTCTTTATGTAAAAATAAGATAACTATATGAGTCGACTTTTGAGTTTAATTTAAATCTTACAATGCTTGTTCTGAGGCAACACTAAATTTGGCATTAGTCCTTTTCGTAGTACCTAAATAGAGATCTGTCAAATTTTGCTTCCAACAGAATCATGCACATCAAATTAATGCGCAGCATCTATTTAAGTTTACATAAAAAATTGCTTTGGCTAAGTACTATTGGAATTGTGATAACTTGTTCTAAAGGATCCTATGCTTCACTGCTTTGTTATTTACTAACTGCACACAACAACCCCATACTCAGAGACATCAATTTTGATTAAAGTTATTGCTGTCACTTTCTTTGCGATAACAGTAGAATAAGACAACAAGTGACTTTAAAGGACATTAAATTTATTTGACGTCACAGAGCACGGACTTATCATTTATTTTGTGTTTTAAATTGACAAAAGTTGTTGAAATGTTAGGATCAGGCAGTCCCCGATACGGCCGCGATGGCACAACACGTGAAATCGCTTATCGACGATTGCAAGAAGCTACTGGTTGACACTGAACCTGTGCTAGGATCTTGGGGACTTATCGACGCAGACCCAAGGTAAGCGTACTTTTTTCTAGAGTTGTCTATACAGGCAGTCCTCGTACTTACGGCGTGTTAGGTTCTTGAAATACGCGACGTAAGTCGAGACATCCCCACGGACGCCGGCCCCACGGACATTGAGCTCGCGACAAGTGAATTCTCCTATGCCGGAAATCGAAACAATTGACGTATGCTTGAGGAATAGTGTCAAAACATTGTTTGACGTAACTTGAAACGACGTAAATCGAAACGACGTTAGTCGAGTACTGAATGTATCTAAATATTGCAAGGGCGGCAGGCTGCCAGGGGCGGGATTCATTACTGATCTGTGTTTTGATTTAAATTACTAATTCTATTAGGCTAGATTAGGGAGGTTAGCAAATTCTCAGTGGTCCGAGGCGCCAAATTTGTAAATATGCTCCTGATATTGACGCTAAGTTTAACAGGCATTCTTTCAAACAGTTTTAAGTGGCGTTAATTCGTGACTAGCGACGTATAGACACGTGTTGTCAAAATGTAAGTTTAGATATTTTTGAGGATAGCTAGAACCGTCCTTCTGACTCCTTTCTATTTTGTATTATTATGCTATCGTTGAATGCAATGTTCCTTGATGGACTGTTACTATTAAAAAGGAGGTTCCCCTTTTCTCTCCCATTCACGACCTTCGCATGGTCAAATGGCTATGACACACTAAATGACCTCCAGCAGGGTCAATATTTCTTTTTTTATTTAACTTTTTATTTATATAGCTTTTTTTTTCGTTATATATAATTTCAAATCGGGTCGATTGTTCAACATTGTTCCCAGAGGCGTATTTACGCTTGAGCAATGGCCCAGGGCAGCAGGCTGCGAGGGACGGCAAAAGTCATATCAGGGCATACGTTACTGAACTATATTTTGGCCCGAGGGGCCAGATATTAAAATACGCTGATTATATCTAGGTATAACAGAACTAGTAAAAGTCAATAATGAAACGAATACAAAACGACGACACGGCCGGCTCCAACGAGAGGAACAGAGCATAGAAATTTTGGATTTGTTTCCGTATTGGCGCTAGTTATATGTATAAGTGCGACAAGGATCTTTATGAATGTGATAAAGTTTGAACTAACGCCGCAAATTTTGTAAACGTCATATGCTGCATGTCATTTACGGTCATTCACGTAGACAGTGATGTCAATTCTGGCATGTTGCTCTTAACCTACACTTAAATTTGACAACGGTGTATCTTTGTTATTTTCTATACAGAATGAAAATGAGAGACTGATTTCAAATTTTGTTTTCAAGGAATCATGCCAGTATCGACACCATTGGCGCCCTCCCCGGACTGCCACTAACATTCATAAAGATCCTTGTCGCACTGCAATTATAACATGTTGTTTCTGTTGATTTATACAAATTGCCTGAAATCTATATTATTGTTTCGCTAGTACGGGCGATCCTCACGAGACCGAAATGGACAGCGTTCTCGTGCTGACTAGCGACGCGTATTACGTGGCCGACTACGATGAGACGTCAGACAGGTTGCTGTCAGTGCAGCGGGTGCCGCTGCGTGACGTCACAGCGATAGAACTGGGCACTTTGGACACTAGCGCCGCTTCGGTGAGTCCCATTTATACAAACAATAAAATGGTAGGAAAGTCAAAACTGTACATTAAATATTTTTTTAAAAGAATGCTTGGGGTGTGATCTACAATCGATACCGAAGTCAAAAATTTATATTTTAGATTTTTTTTTGTTTGTCTGTATGTATGTCCGGGATAAACTCAAAAAGTACTGCATGGATTTATTAAAAAGTCGGGTCAACATATAGGCTACATATTATCACGCTATCACCTACGGGGAACAAGCAGTGAACCTTTATTTCTAACTAACTCCACGCGTAATACAATAACAAGTACGGGAATGATATCGTTACTGTTCCTAAACAAAGCGCAGTCAAACGCGTGTAAGTGAGACGTTAGATAATTCTTTACGTTGAGCTTTATTTAAAAGTTCATTATTTCGTAGTACTAACTTTTGGTAATTCGACATATTAAGAGGGTTCAAAAGAGGAACTTTTGTTTGTTTCGTTTATAGTTTTAAGATTGATTAGAGAGTTTTAATAATTAAATGTTTGACGTCATAACGTTGTTGCACAACTTTCGAAACGACGAAAGAAAAGTGCTTATTAGTGAATGTAGGATCGACCGAATGCATGTTGTTGCTATTTATCATTACTTCTACGTAAAGTATTATTCTAAAGTTAGTGCATAGTAACATCGACGCACAGGAATGACAGTGACCGACTGCGATGTCACGTCTGACAGGTTGCTGTCAGTACATCGAGTGACATCACAGCGATAAACTGAACACTGGACTAGTGTCCATGAGTGAGTGACATGAATGCGAGCATTTGTACTCCAGTCGAGGATGTTTAATATGTAATTCTATATAAATATACTTATATACTAGCTGACCCAGCGAACTTCGTACCGCCCTAAAAAAATAGGGGTTGTCCAGCGGACAAAATTGTGAATCTAAACCATTCTCAGATCCCCTTGAACACACACAAAAAATTTCAGCAAAATCGGTCCAGTCGTTTAAGAGAAGTTCAGTGACATACACACTCACAGAAGAATTATATATATAAAGATGTATCAGTGTATGTATTCTATCCGTTGCCCTAGTATCCCATAACACAAGCCTGCAGTGTTTACATTGGGGCTAGGCTAATTGTTGTTTAAAAATACTGACGTGAAGTCCTTTAAATTACCATCCTAGCACTACTATGTGTGCAGGATTTGGCGATGTATTGCGTCTTTGTTTATGTATGAGTGTCGTACTTACACTTTTGTTATATAAGCGTGTACGTTAAACTGCGTTTGTGTGCATATTCCCCCAGCAAAAAAATTACATAATGCTTTGAGCAGTATTATGTTGCTATGGCAACTCCCTTCCGTGTTGCTCTATGGCCGTTGCGCATGAAACTGTTTATAATATGAACGAGAGCATCATGCTTTTGCTTGTTTAGAATATCAATAACATTCATATTTACTATATTATATTAACAGTTATTCGGCGTGGGTCGCAAGTCTACCGGAGAACCTATGTTTTGCATTCGCATCCAGTACAATCATAACGGCGAATCAGGCTATTACCACATGTTTCGATCTACGTCGCTGCGTTTCTTCAACAACATGGCCGTCGTCATAAACACCAGGGACGAGATGATCGGTGACTATTATTTATTTATTTTAGGAAGGTTTACAGCTATCAGTCACATATAAATAGATTTATTTTTTATATAAATAAACAAAAAACAATTTCTAAAAGAAAATTAAAAACCTCCACATATTAAACATGCTTATATAACTATAACTATCTAACAATCTTTCATCCTACTGTAATATGCTTACTCATGTCATAATATATTTATTAAAGTTAACAATTAATTATACTATCTTTAAAAACGAAACAGACGCCAGTGTGCATATTGAGCATACCCACTTATTTAATTAATACCTATTTAAAATAATTCGACCGTATAGTTCGTCTGATTATACTTAAATCACCAGAATTACAAAATTATGAATGCCTTGCAGTCTAAGGGCCAGCGCTGCGTGAAGCGGGAGCACGGAGCTGACGTCCGTTGCGCATACAGCTTCATGTCATTTCATGTAATTTCAAAGAACAGCGCTGTGACGGGTGACCCGCCTACGTAGAGCTGCTCTTTGAAATAACATGAAACTGCACGCCTAGCGGATGTCCGCTCCGTGTTCCCGCTTAACGCAGCGCACGCCCTAAGAAACACTAGAAGAGATTAGTGATGACCATTAACGTCTTCGTAACATATCCGTTGGTACCCGGATAGCGGAAGGCATAGGTTTGAATCCTAACTGACATCTGGATTTATTTGAAGTAATATTTTCTAAGGTACACGTAATTTTATTCGTAAATCAAAAATATAATAAACTACATACATGTGTGAACTCTAGCATGATTCTCTAATTTTAAAACTAAATTTAACATCAGTCTCGCCTCTTCAATCTGTATAGAGAATGACAGGGATACACTGTTGTCCAATTATATTTAAGGTTTAGTCAATCATGCCAGATTCGACACCACAGCCGACATAATGACCTCCGAGGTAAAGTATTATGTTATCTGGTTTTCAAGTTGACGCCTGCTCGGAAGTCCCGGTTTCGAATCCCGGTGGGTCAAATGTTGATATGATGAATACGAGTATTTTGTACTTAAGTTACGGCTGTTTTATATTACATGTACTTATCCCATGACATGAGTTCTTAAAGTGCTTACTTTGGGGCTAGGCTAATTGGTGTGAGTGTGATAGAAATTCTATTTAAATGTAAATAATTAATTATATGTGTACAGATTTTCCATATGTGTTCCATTTCACTCAAAATAAAGAAGCTTCCAAATGTTCCGTTACACGTAGCTCTGGTTCTTTATACAACATATGAATATGCAGAAATATTAATTTTATTACTACAACAATAAGTTACATTTTCATTTTGAATAATGTGTTTTATTTTTAGAATCATTACATTCGATTTGCGAGTCGCTTATGGTGGCTCGCGACGTTGCCAAACTTCCACGTATACCGTTCCATGACGGCATCAAGTTGGAGAGGAAAAAGTCTAAGGTAGGTTTTTCTTTATTGATTTGCCATCGCTCTCACTTATATAGAAATTCAAAACACAGTACATTATTTATTATTAAATACCCTAAAATAAATTCTAATACTATAATGGCATGCGCAGACGAGGGACTTTGGTCTGCCAAAATTATAGCTGTCTTCGCCTCCAGTTATTCCGATGAACGCTGTAGAGCTGCTAAATGCGTGCTGTGTTATCTAAAAGTTACGATAGATTGATGTATTACTTATGAGAAATGTGGGGGCAAGATTATCCCCCATATGTCAATCTGCCGCGCTCGAGTAAATCCAAAAATTCCTGCTTAAGCTCTCCTACCATAGCTTGAAAAAGATAAAACAATGTTATTTATGTCTATGTAACATCAAGAAAGTATTGTGATTGCGACACAGGTATGGATTAACTACAAGATTAATCAATCAATCATTTATATGTAAACATTTTAAAGATTTGTAAATTTACCCGTAAACAAATAAATTATTTTAAAAAGCGAAATGATACATCATCTTAGTAGACATCACGACATGGACATAAACTACTTATACCAACTACAAAGAATAAAATAAACTTATCTTGTCTAATGACCGTAAAAATTCATTACATAATACCTAAAACATTAGTTGAAGAAAAGGTTGATAATATATTCATTGCAAAAATTTATAAGCTACTAGTTGACCCCGTACGTACGTACTTCGTACGGGTTAAAATATTTTTGGAAGAAATGACGGAATCGAGTCTACGGTACCAAAAGGGACGAACGTTAAATGTTTGACAGGAAAGAAGATTAGAACAGTTTATATGAGAAAACTAAATTTACTATCTTCGTCGCAATTTTTCCATATTTTCTTACCTTTTAAACCTTCCCTAGACCTCCACGACCATTTTAAGACCAAGATAAGAGAAATCCGTTCAGCCGTTCTCGAATTTTAGCGAGACTGACGAACAGCAATTGATTTATATATATATATATATATATATATATATATATATGACTATAGGTAGACTGAGTGCTCGCCTGCGGGGTAAAGGGTGTGGACAGACACCTTTTTTTCCCCCACTCCGCACTTTGGGCAAGTGCCCAGGGCCCCGCGATTGATAGGGGCCCACTTCAGATCAAATACAAAGTCCCTAGTTCCTGTTAGATTACCAAACGGGGGTCATAGCGGCCCCATTATCCTAATATGCCCAGGGCCTCCAATAGGTCAAAGACAAGACACTGGGTGTGGAGGAGGACGGAGACCTTGTGAGGTGCGGAAGGCAGGCACATTCTTGTCAAAATTTCAAGCGCCCGCCGGCCGCATCTCTCAAGGTCCCCGTTCTCGTCCTCCCCCACACCCTGTGCCCCGCAGGCGAGGACTCAGTTAAGCGGTGTACCACACATATAAAGCCAATGTTATTACACGGTTAAGTATTTTTTAGAAGATAATGATTTAAAGTAATGATATTTACAATGATTTATTGTTTTATTATACCTGTTGTTTTATTTCATTAATAAAAAATATAATATGACATAAATAATAAAACAAATAATATAATATCGAGCTAAAATGATGGAATAATGTCGATATTAATATATATTTTATTCGTTAGTTAAGAAGATTAACTTATAGGTTGTATAGTTACAATTTTAACTAAATTACAAAATTGTGAATGCGTCCTCTTCTCTATTTGCTGTGCCCCGTTCAGGGTCTATAATGATCAAATCAATGTACGTACTAAAATCTAAGAAAACATTGTAAAACGCAATAAAGTAATGATTGATTGATTGATAATATTAATATTATTATTTACTTTTAATATTTTCTCAAAGGTACATCCGACCCAAGGCCAGCCGGGTGGATTAAGAGCATCTCTGTATTTGGATCTGTCCCGTTTGCCGACTCTTACTAGAAACGTGAGCGAAACACAATTGGTAGCCGACATTCGAAGCGTTGGTGAGTTACTACCTTTCTGGTATTTTGTCGAAACTCACTTTACATTACATTATATCTTATATCATACAATACTACATTCTTATATCATTGGTATTAGTAAGTATTTTCCTAAAATACTTTCGGTTTTATACGTAGATAATGTTAAAGTTTATCACATTAATATTTACTCTGGGAATGAAGTTTTACTTAAAGATTAGAAAACTGTATGATTATACGATTCCGTTGATTTAGTAACCATATAAATTGGACCGCTTTGTCTCTTTCACATTTTTCCGACCGTTGTTTTTATTATAGTCAGGTAAGCAAATGACTCTTCCCCATCTGATGTTAACTGGTGATAGAGTCCAAACGCGAAGATAGCTGGTACAGCAGTTATAAACTGCCACACCAACCATCCTCACCTTGCCGGCCTGCAAAAATGCTTCTTCACGCCTTTCTTAAAAGACCCCAGATTGTAGGAAGGTGTTGGTCAAACGATATCATCACTTTCTCTTTCTAAAGAGTAATCTTCTATGCAGGTATTGCTGAGTCCGGTCCTAAGACGGCCGGTCATTAGATGGGTGACCGGAAAATTATTGTCTCGAGCTTCTACGTGCTTCGGAAGGCACGTTAAGCCGTTGGTCCCGGCTGCATCAGCAGTCGTTTGCATCCACCAATGGACACAGGGCCCACGTGGTGGATCATAGCACAATCTTCGTATTCCATCCATTGGGAAGGCCTTTGCACCAGCAATGGGGACATTAATAGGCTGATAATAAAGATTGCTCAGTCCATTTTCTGTCTTTCTAAAGTCGCCAAAATGCCTAACCTTTCCATCTCCCATCCTCCCCCAGGGTGTTCCTCTCATGTAACCTCTACAAGTGCAGTGCTAGACCAGATAATGAGGATTAATCCGAAGACTGGCGTCCGTACCGAATGCCGCTACGTCATTGGATGGACTAAACACGTTAGTCAGTGCCTTCTTCGTGCATTCGTTTCATTGTATATTTTTCTTAACCTATTTACTCGTATTTTTCTTTCAACAACATAACCGAACAGTTCAGTAAGCTCAACAAGCTAAGTCACCCTTAACTACCTGAACTGTGCTAAAATCTCTGATACCTCTTTCATTGCTAAATTCGACTCTGTAACGGATCAAAAGCCCTCAACAACGTGACCGAACAGTTCAGTAAGCTTAACAAGCTAAGTCACCCGTAACTAACTGACCTGTGCTCATCTGGTATCCTGACTCATTGCTAAATTCGACTCTAATAGAACTTTATTTCTCATTATTCAGGATCAAAAGCCCTCAACAACATGACCGAACAGTTCAGTAAGCTTAATAAGCTAAGTCACTCGTTAAACGCGCGCGCAAAACCTAGCTTACAACTTAAGTTCGACCAAAGTACCGCTCGCACCAAGAAGATATTTACTCTTGGCCAGAACAAATCGGACAAGAAGAAGGGCAGTTTATCAGACGGCATGAGCTCCGATTGCTCGTCGGATGACGAAAACAGAACGAACATATTCGAACCCACCTTGGACAACTTTGAAAATAGCCAGCATTATATAGGTTAGTGGTATTTCTGTGTTTTTCTTTGATATTGGATCCGTATCTGATTTATATTGAACGTCAGCAGAAACTTTTAAGCTTTAATGGTAACTTAATCCTGATATGAAACAAAGCAATACATTTATGATAGGAATAAATAAATTTTACTCATTCAGTCCATTTTCTGTCAACTCTAACAAAAATAATAACAAATACTATCTTCTTTTTAAAACTGATTAGGTAAATCGGGAACATCACAAAAGGATGAAGTAGAAATTGACTGTGACCTAATCGAGAACCCCTTATACTCTTCCAAAATAGAACCTCAAGAGAAGGAGGTATACGAACCGAGCGCTCTAATCACAAGCCCCGTGGAAAAACAACCCCTAAAAACGCCAAGCAACGTGAGCAAATTCAACCCATTCGACGTGGAAACTTCTAGAACGCCTGAAATACAAGTTGAGTCTGATGGTGGCAAACCGGTGCCGCCTCACAGTTTAATGCTCACGCAGAAGCTATCACACAGCTCCAACGACATAAACTATGAGGAACAGACGACTGATGGAGTAAATTATCATCGCTCGAACTCTCAGCATGAGATCACGCTTAATATAGCGCAATCGCACAGCGAATCAGCGCTTAAGCAGCTGAAAAACATAGCCAGCCCTGTCTCGAGCGCTACAAGAGAAATGGTGCTGTCGCCGTTGTCGAAGCTAGCTAAAGGCGTGCAAACATTGGGGGCTAACTTGGATCCGAGGAAAATAAAGGTGAGGTGACTATGCGTTCAGCCTAACGAAAATGTTTTCAATAAATCATATTAAACAATGAAAAACATCTCAGTTTATCTATTATGTTTCTAAAACTAGGGCTGTATTATAATATTATATTAATGCTGTCATTTTTAATTTGGATGATTTAAAAAAATGCAATGAATGAAAGATAAGATGTTTGTGTATCTCATCTCAAGGTGCAATTTATCTTGTGCTCTGTTAACTCTACGGGGAATAAAAACTTTGTGTTTTTGTTTCAGGGCCCCGGTACAGTGAAACATGTGACCGAACAACAATATGAAGAGCATAAAAAACTGCAAGAAAAATGGCGCGGTTGCAACACACGCTTAGTAGCTTTGTAATCTTAGTGTTGCCGTAAAAGTTGTGCGTTTAAAAAAATTTTTTGGGCTTCTTCCATACCATGTGGTATGTTTTATTCAATTTTACAAAATTCTATATTCGAATAACTTAATTGTGTATCGTCCATATTTACAATGTATCCAAGACATAAACGTGCTTTTATCTAATCAAAAATAATGCTTCCATATGGTAAATTTTATTTGTTTTAATAGCATCATTGTAAATGGCCAGTTCGAAGTCAATTACGTGTCGTTTTCGATTGTTGTTAGGGAAATTTATATGCATAGGCGTACCCAAGATAGGTATTTGAGAAGGAGGGGTCGTTCCACTATCGTTTTATTTATTGACAACGATAACACACTTGAATTGTTGGAAAATACAGCATTAGAAAAAGTTACAGCTTTGTACAATTTGACACAAAGGCATGCCGTACCGCCATGGAAACATAAAATACCACTTGTTCACTTAAATTGGTGCAAGGTAGATTTTGTATTTTCAAGCAAGAAAATTTCGTACACTGGTTTTACTGTTTCACTTTTTACATTTTTTACACTTTTTTCATTCGTGGATTCTCCCGAAAAAATGGGTACACCTATGCTCGTCTAGCGTAATGTGTAATTGATTAGTGTGTATTGTAACGAGGAATTGTTATACATAGAATAATTTATAATTAATGATTCCATATTTATTCGACATAGATTAATGTATAGTCTTTAGTATGACAACAATGTGTGCTAGGTCTAGGATCTTACTTCCGAGGATCTTTCAAAAGTATCGTGATTGTCTCAAAATATACGTAATTAATTAAATAATTACATAAATTCACACTGGAAAAGTAAGAATAAAAAAGATCATTCTTAGCCCGTACTCGTTGCCGAGTCAAAATTACCATCTAAATTTGCCGTCATTACTTTAATGAACGAAAAAATATATATAAAAGTATTTTACACGGTAACGAGCATTTCATCTTTTTAAATATTTAGCAATGGCGATGAATGATTTAATACCAAATAAATATAAGGCCTTTTTAGCAATAATCTTGTTAGCTTTGACCAACATTTCTTACCGTGTTTTATTTTATTAATGAATACCTTAAATTAATTATTTACTGAATACCTTAATGTTTTTTTTTATTATTGAATGCCATATAGGGCATTGGATCGTCCTGTTTTATATTCATTATTTATCATAATATGAACGGACAAATTAAATTTATTGTAATATTGTCTAATGCTACAAATGGTTAAAAATCAACAGTTACAAGGATAATGATTTATAAAATAGGACTTCAAAATTATGACACAGACTACTTAATGTCGTCGGCTTATTATAATATAACGTTCCTGACTCCTTGATGTCTATAAAACTAATATAGTTTGTACTCACTTTAACTTAATATTTAAACACATTCCTATTTAGCATCATTGCCTATATAGTGTAAATGACATCAACAGTATTATAAAGTGGAAATATATATATTAGGAAATATACATTTTAAAATATAGTTAAATGCCAACACACACACAGTACAATGAAAATGCCAACGGGCAAATAAGCTAATCATTATAACGATACATAAACTTCGTGTAACTTGAAATTTTATTTAAATGCAGTCAATCTGTCTCTGTCTGATTATACTATCCAGAACTAGGTGCAAAATATTTCTAATAGTATCCAAAAATAATACCATAGAATAATTTATGAAGTAGTTAATGCTTCGCATGATGTGTATACCATTGAATAGCTCCTATATAGTTCGTTCAATATAATAGTCTAGCTAGCCATGACATAGGTAGTGTAGGTATGCCTTTAAATTGTAAAGATAGTGATCTGAGAATGCAACGCGCAGAGTATCTACTAAATATATAACGGTATAATTTTAAAATAATAAATACTTAATAAAAACAGAAAATATATTACATACTCATTGATTACCATTTTTCATCTTTCTAATCGAGATATGCTTCAGACATAATTGTCATGCATTTGTGGTAAATCATGATTGACACCCTTTTTTAACGCTTTTGCCGAATACGGTTTTAATTACTTTTAAAAACATATTGTAATATAGTTTTTAGTATTAAAAACATATTGTAATAAAGTTCAAAATTACATTGGGTTGTCGCTATTTAATCCATAAAACAGCCAATGCCTATAATATATATTTATTTATTTTTTGTAATAGTTATCAGTAAACTATTCGAGCTTCGAGTTTTTTTAAACTCAAAGGACCTATATGGTCTTGTACCTTTGAATCACAAATATTAACCTTAGTTATCAAATCTTCTTATATATTTTCTACAGAATGACTTTGCTCTAGGAAAATAAACAACATACATATTACTTAATAACTTATCTATAGACTGTTAATGCACCAATTTATTAGCAAATTTTATATAAAAAGTTATTTAAAACTAGTGTTTTATATTATTCTATGCTTCTTTTTGTTACACTTCCCTAATTAAAAAAACACACATCAACATTATGTTATATTTTGCACTGATTAAAAAACTGTTAACTATAACTACTATTAATTTATTTCAAATTGGTTTATGACATTTGTATTTGCAATTGTAGTGTTTTTAATTAGGTTTGACATTATTTTGACAGTCGAATGAGATTAACAATGAAATAATTAAATGATCCTGTAAATGTATTTGTAATAATGCAAACTGTTATATTGTTATCTTAATCATTTTAAGTCCTATGACAAAACGTGGACTAAAGAAAAACTTTATCTAACTAAAGAAAAGCTGTTGCTATCTTCTTTCCGGCAACTAAAGGTTTAGTGCACGTTTTATAATAAAGGGTTATGAGTTTATAAGGTTTATATAAAGTTATAAATATTGCGTGTGGTGCTTGTACTACTCATGTGTAGTGCTAGCATTACAATAAACAATATGTGTAATATTATATAAATGCAGAAGCATCTGATTTTTTTTTATTATCTTCCTTCCATAATTAATTTGCAACAAGAGAAAATTCATAATGGAAGAGTACTTCCCGTTAAACTAATCGTTGACACTGCGTCAACCATATAAAAACATTATTTAAGTAAAATTGTTTTGAAGCCATACGGTTTTCGGTTAAGATTTGATATTAATGTCCAAAATAAACATTTTGCTTGGTTGATCTAAAAATGGTTTGCAACTGTGTAATAAATACGTAAAATATTGATTTGATTTTGCTTTTGATGTTATTGATGTCAATATTAATTGACGTTGCTTTTATCTTAATAATTAATTTATTTCAATGAAATCAATAAATGATGTGTAATTTAATATAAAAAGAAATGATATTAATTACACGCTTGTTCTATTACGATTCAGTGAATATTTAAATTACTGCTTTTAGTTTGTACAGTCATCCGCAAATCGGGAAACGAATACTTATTAATTCTCCTATATTTTTTTATTTACAAACCAAACCTGTAATGCCCGCACTATTTTCATTTGGCTATTCGTATTTGCTAAACTTGACGACAGTATGCCCTTATGCTTTATAAGGAATGAGAATCGTTTACGATAATGAAAATAATGCACCAAACTTAGAATAATAACGCCTAGAAGCCGTGTCTCAACAAAAACAAGCGCGGTATTCATGCCGAATTAATTTTCTTGTGTGCGTAAGTTGAATGAACTACGGACACAAATACTTACATAATTTTAGTGTTACCAAAACCCGTCGCAAACCCACAAATTGGGGGAATGTGATGATTTGTGATGCAATGCCAAAGCACTAGACAGGATGAATATGATTATATTCATGTATATTATTATTATATACTACAACGGAAGTAGATTTTCAAGGACAAAAATTGTACTTTTCAGAATTTAATTAATAGAGAAATTATTTTTTCATGGAGCTGGTCCAATACATTAGTTTTATATAAATCATACCTATCAGAAATACGCGGAAAGTGTACAATAATAAGATTTTCCTATGAAGCAATGAAAATATTTTGTGCAAATATCTTTTCCACAACTAGCAACATTGTATTGTCAAAATTTGTTTGTAATTGATTCTTACACTTACATAAAATTTATAAATCATCACTTCATGTTGTGTTTCAGATGAGTGAAAACTATTCTTAAAGAGTAAAAGAAAAATTGACATTTTAAATTTTTATTCACGAGCATGATTCGACACGACGCGCCATTGAGCACTGGCAGTTTGCCAAATCACTTTAAATTGCGCCTTTTTGTGCGTGTTCTAGACTTCTGGGCGTTATTATTCTAAGGCACCAAATTATCACGAAATAAGTTGATCTAGTTTTTTTCTACAAAGCACCCCCACTAGAGATCGCATTAAAGTAGTATTACAATATTAAGCATGTGCGCGTGCCTAGATGTCGACCAATGACGATAATCGTTTCACCAAATTTGCCATCCACTGATGTGTCCAAACAAAACACGGCTTGCCCTCCCCGCATGCAGGCATCTGTGACGATTTATTTTAAGCAAATAATGAGTAATGCGGGCTCTAGTGGTAGGGTGCTCTGTGTTTTTTTCTAACTTATTGTTTACGTTTATAAATTTATATTTTGTAATTACCTGTTTTCTATTTTGTAAATACTATTATCGATATTAATCAATAAGACTATTATCCAACAGAAGATTTGACCATTATTATTCTTATCTTTCGCCTAGCTCCCGCCCTTCAGAAAACCCTCAGTAAATATATAATAAATATCTCACGAAGGTAGTCTGAAGTTTGAAAACCGGTTAAATAAAAACTTAATATGATTTTGTCTGTGATTGTTATTTATTTTAGTGACGTTTTATTTTGATTTAAATAAATAGTATTTAATTGATACTGTAGTTGTTTTAGTACTCATGAACATTGTCTTTTTAACAATCTACATTTATCTAATTGTTATTAAGAGCGGACGCGAGCTGTGAGACATTTGAAACAGCTCTTGCTATCGCGCTCACGTAATATAATACCATGAGAAAGAGACAACTGCAGCACCCGCTGAATATTGCGAATAAAAATTACAAAATTCGAGGCTCTGCTCTCGGTGATTTCCACGTCCACAATTAGTTCTATGTTAAAGAAAATTCACCCATAGAATTAAGAACATCTAGTTACTTTGAAAAACCAGTTATTGAAAAAAATAATTATTTAAAAAACTAATAACAAGCTTTTACCTACTGCACTAAAAAGTCAAAAATAAACAAAATATAGAGTATATTTTGTTTACTTCACTAGGGCTTTAGAGTAAGCCATGTTTATAGTTGATTTTAAGATATATATCCCTAGTCAGGTCATAAATTCTGTCACATGTTTAATATAAAATAATTGAAACAAGTTTATTCATTATGTAACCACGGACACGCGGAATACGGTTGCTCACTTCTTCACTACTGTGTGCGTACACCTTATCACTTTGTTTGTTGTAGGTCTCTTCTACGGTAAATTTTTTTTCATCCGAAAAAAGAATAGAAACGTTTTACCTGAAAATAAAACGGTTATTAAACATACTTACTTTATTCGAAGCCTAATAAATACATGAGAGTAGCATACTTGATTTCCGGTCTTAAATCGTGTACAACGCCGCCATGATTGGCTAGCTTCGTCCAATCAGCGTTCACTTCCGGCTCGCGCCATTTCCCCCTCCCCCCTGTATTAGCAAGGCGTTTGTGGGTGCCTGATTTATTCGTCATTACATCTCGAATGTATATCACCAGGCAGAATTTAAAAATATCAGGCTTCGAATAAGGTAAGTATGTTTAATAACCGTTTTATTTTCAGGTAAAACGTTTCTATTAAACAGTACTGTACCGTTATTCGAAGCCTAATAAATACATGAGAGATCTGTTTGGAATCGCCTGGTGGTGCTAGTTATGTAAACCGATGCTAATGTGATCAGGATATAAATAAAATGATGATGGGCTATGGAAATTAATCATTTATTGTTGTTCTTTAGTTATGTTACTATTGGTAATCATTAGTACATTGTGCAAATAAGTTATTCTATAGGCATAAACTGAGAGCGAATCAACGAAGAGTAATTATTGGGATTGTTAGTACATTTTACTGCTCCTCTGTAGAACTTTTTAAAAGCATGTTCTGATTTCCAGTTCCCTCTTGACAGGATATCTTCCAAGGGACAATTTTCTCGCCAACTCTTCGAAGCTACAGCTGATCTCATGCTGCCCGCTGTAGCAGTTACACCGGCTTCTTGTAATAATTTTCTAATCCAACGTCCTATCACTGTTTTCGACGCTGCTTTAGGTTCACCAATCGAAGTGATAAACAAGTTTTCCGATTTTGCTGTTATCCGTCTGGAGTGGGACAATTCTAACAAGCGTTTAATCCAGTAAACTATGTTTAGCGAATTATTATCCCCCCTGTTTACTTTTAATAACTTCCAACCAGATTGTTGGTGCTTGGCGTTATCAGTTTTAGAACCGAAACTTGGCCAAAATGTCACTTCCGTATCAGTAACAATACAGTGATCAGGGGATACACTCAGAAGAGTTAAATCATGTACCCGTCTACCCGAGGCCAACAAAACAGCATAGTCGCTGTTATTTTGGATACTTCGTAAAGGTTTGAAGTTCCAGTCAATATCCCATTATGGGGGCCTTAGCTATTTTTTGCTTGGCCAGTTCGATGGCCTTGAGGACTTGTTTAACCAGCGTATGGGAGCTAAGTTTGATGTGGTTGTCGGGATCACAAAAGGTGGATATTGCGGATTTATGCACTAATATAGTGCTATAGGCTAAACCTTCCTCCTGATGTAAGTCGGCCAAAAATCTTGCTAAGTGGGATCCTGATGGTTGGCACACATTAACATTGTTTTGCTCAGCCCAAAACAGGCAGATTTATAGGTGTTTAAGGTGGATTTACGCCAGCTTGATGAAAGTAATAGTTTCTGATTTTCAGACAATCACTTAAAATCGAATGCCACCCCCACATCGCCAAATTTCGCATCATTCCGATCTCTGGCGGTGGTCGGCCCGTTGATGTATCCACCAGTACTTGGGGCAGGTTGCGTACTGTGAAGGGGGCTGACAACGCTCTGCGCTTGAGATCTGGCCTCCAGTATACTTTGTCCCACCGAGGTACCGCTAGGAGGTAAGTGCCTTGGGCTTTGTTTAGATGCGCTAGAACTTTGGGTATCAGATGTGGTGGAGGGAATACCCAGGCTAATGGGTAATTCCAATTCCTTCCTAGCGCGTCGTGGAAAACAGCTTGTCTGTCTAATTGATCTAGGGTGCAGTAGTTTGTTACAACATGTGCAGTTGCAGCAAGGGCGGATCCAGCTTTGGCGCCAGGGGGGGGGGGGTCAAATAGTCGTGGTATATTAAATATAGAAAGTACTTAAATAAAATCCCCCTGAGTTTGGTCCATCGTCATACAGATGGACCAAACCCAGGGGGGGGGTCATGACCCCCCCCCCTGGATCTGCCCTTGAGTTGCAGAAGCAAAAAGATCGATGACTGGTATGCCCCATTTTGCAAATACAACCTTCATTACCTCCGGAAGGAGATGCCACTCCGGTGTTGATTTCGAACGAGACAGGTGATCTGCATCCGAGTTGAACATGCCCGGCATGTAATAAATTGATAGGTGAATTTTGTATTTGTCCAGTATTTTGAAGATTCGAGTGGTTACTTCCTTAAGAAGCCGAGATTTCGTTCCACCTTCATTTCGAAGATAGGCTACGACGGTCTTTTTGTCGCACTGTATCTGTAGTCCCTTTGTTCAGGAGCAAACAGCGATCTTCTAAAACTCTTAGAATGGCGATCATCTTTTGATGTTGCAGTGTAACTTGCGTTCCGAAAACTCCCATTGGCCAGTTAGGCTTTCGTTGTCCAATTTTGCTCCCCAACCAAGATCGCTCGCATCCGTCGTTAGATAATGCGATGGAGGGGGGTCTGTGGATCGGAGAAGATTTCCTGCAATGATTTAGCCACCATTCCAACTCTGTTCGAGCAGTCTTTGGTAATTGAATTGCTTTTACTGTTCCCGTCTTGAGAAGTGAATTCACTTGAAACTGCAACTCTCGAAAATTCAATCGTCCTCTTGGGACTGGAAAACTGGCAAAGTTCAATATTCCGACAATTTTCTGCAGCTCTGGGAGTCTTACTTTTTTCTTGCTTAGAATTACAGCAACTTGTCTTTCTATTTTTGCTGCTAATCTGTCCGGTAAGTACTTTATGTTCCTTATAGAATCCCACATAATGCCGAGGAATTCTAAAACATTTTGTGGTTCGTAAACGGATTTTTCCTTCAGTTTAGTATCCAACCCAGGTACTTCAAGAGACTTGTTGCCATTGACACGTGCTCGCGCAATGTTTGTATGTCTTGATTTAAAAGATAATAGTCGTCGAGGTAGATTAGAAGCCGTACCCCCCTTTCTCTGAGTTGCTGAGCTATCCAATTTGATAGCGATGCGAAAGTTTTCGGGGCGGAACTGAGGCCAAAAGGTAAGGCTGTCATTTCGTACAGTTTTCCTCTGTAAATCAGGCGGAGGAACCTTCTGTGGCTGGGAGCGACGCTCACGTGAAAATACGCCTGATGTAAATCTATTTTTGCCATCCAGTCGCCATATTGCAGGAAGTCTGGTACTCTGTGCACGTTCACGAGACGAAATTTGTCTGCGTTCGTGCAGACAAACTTGTTCAGTTGTTTCAAATTGAAAACCGGTCTTAAACTTCCGTCGCTTTTGGGTCTTAGGAATAACGTCGAGACGTAACTTGGCGTGTTTGCAGTTGGTACGATTATGTGTAGATCGAGTAATTTCTGAATAATTTGATCCATGTCTGGCGACTGAGCCGTGTGACTGCTGCAGTATTTTGGCAGGCATAAAGGTGGTTTTGCCTTGAAAGGAATATGATAACCGGTTATTATATTTAGGATGTAGGGCGGTGCCCCAAGATCCTTCCAGTGGTGGATGTATTTCTGCAACTGACCGACCCGAAAAGGCATGACGTAGTCAGTACCTCTTCCTGGGTTGACCTCGCCTATCCCGTTGGGATAAGGGAGAGCGTGCTCGACCTTCTCGCTGTGATCCCCCCCCTCGAGTTGTCTGAAAGTTACCGTGACGTCCACGAGGCCCGTTCTTATTGCTTAATCGGTTTCCTTGTGTGGGGTGAGACCGTGGCTTATGAACCCTCTGATGATTAGCAGTAGGTCGAGATGAGCCCGGGGCTGTAGTTTCGATTCGCCGAGTTGCAAAATGGCGGTCTTTTTGTTTAGACCAAAAAACATTCTTCATTCCTCCCGCTTTTTCGATAGCGCTAAACTTTTCACTGTCAAATAGATTGGAACAGGATGGTGGGATTTTACGTAACGCACTCTTATGATAAGCATCCTTTACTGATGCTAGGATAGTCTCCCTTCTATGTTGCACAAGTTCAGCTCTATGCCCGCACACTAATTGCAGTGAATCATTGCATACTTTTGTATAATCACTGTTAGTGAATACTTCGTTAAGCTTGATGTAAATCTCGTTGTAACTAATATCCTTCGCTGCATACGCCCACATAAGAAATTTTCTAATTTCGGATTCCAAAACGTCCTTTTGTTTGAGCAACGAAAAAGTAACTGCTGCGAAAGCTTTTTCCATATTTATACAAAACTTAGAGCTATCAAACTGTTTAATCTCATCATTGGGGTCGAGTTCGACAAACCCGGGGGAGTGTGCATACTGTTTTTGAAGTTCGGCGTAACGAACGTTGTTCCACTCCGGAGAGTTAAAATGTTGCAGCTCTTTTAGCTGCTCGAGGTGTTCCCTAGAAGCTTTTGGTACGGACGGTTCTTTAAGCTTTGTTACTAAAGTAATATTAAAATCTGTGTTGCTCTCCCATAGACCCATCAGGTTGAGAGGCTTCCGTTTGCTCAAATAAATAGCCACTAATATTAGAGTCGATGCAAGACTCGGC